TGGTGGGGGCAATGATCAGCAATGGGAACCCTTTTTGCAGCTGAGTGCACCCGATGCTACAGTTATCTCACCAACATGAGAGGACGGTCGAGCGGCTAGGCTCGACGCTTTCGAATAGCTTGACGATTTAGCTGGTCCAGCGCCAGAAAGCCTAAAGAATGCACCGTTAAGCAGTAGATCTCCTTCGGATCTCCAATTCCAATGACTCCATTCGCTTTCGGGCGCATCCTCGTGCTTTGTTACCTATTTTTCCCCCAAAATCATTATGTTGTAATCTTTGAATTTTGAATGAAATCAAATGACACTAAATTGATACATATATAGTATTTAGATAAAATTGAATAATAAAAAAAATTGGAGTATACCTCTTTGCTAAAAGAGTCATCAGGAGCAAGATAACGGTTGCCTTGAGAGTTGATGGTAGGATTAGCACTTCCTCCAATTGCATACATTTCCCAATGTGTATAGTCATTGTTCACCACATGGAAATATCCATGTCTACACCTATATTCATTATATTCACATAATTTTTCATTAGTTTGTTAAAAACCAATTTATCTGCATCTAAGACTAAAATATTAGCAAAATGTTAACTCGACTATACCCCAACTATTTCAGTTGATAGACAACGAAATTATTTCGGTTGATCCATCTTAATTAGATAATATATAAAAAAATGAATTAAAGTTTTATTGCAGTTGTTGTATTTTGGCTTTTGCTATTTTCTTTTAAGAGAATGTCCAACCGACAATATAGTTTGTGCCACATGTATCCACAAAAATAGGTGTATAGTATATACTAAAAAAAAATAAAAAAATCAGTTTGATAAATAAAGAATTTTGAATTACCTTGGCATTCTTTGGACGAGGCCTTCTCCGAAATGGTTAAAAGCGATAGTGACTTGCATATTCTTGTCTTGTTCATACGTATCGCTATGTCCCAATAACATAACCTTATTGTGATGCGTCAAATAGTTATTAGATATCGTTATAGCCGTTGATCCACGTATCGCATCAATCAATCCATCGTTACAATTCGAGAGCGAGCAATGATCAACCCACACGTGGCTTCCACCGAAGATCGACACACCATCACCGTCCGATATCGTTCTGTACCCGAAGTGCTCTGGTGAATCTCGTACGTAAGTATTCCCACCTTGCTTACAATCATGTATGTGTAAACCATGAATGATGATGTTGGTTACGTATTGTATTGTTATACATGGACCACCGGAGATGTGTACGGAGGCTCCTCGTCCGTCTAGGGTTTTGAAAGAATTCATTATGAGTTCTTCTTTGAGTTGGATCGTCATGTCGCGGTTAAATATGATCCAGAGCGGTTCATCTTGAATTACTGCGTATCTTAGTGTTCCGGGTTTAGGGTTTACTGGATCGTCGTTTCCTGGATCCGTGACAACGTAGATTTCGCCGTCACGTCCACCAATTGCGTTTTTGCCAAAACCAATTCCGCAATCGGCTAACCGTTTTCGGTTTTTCTCCCAATCCTTGTCGCATCGCCAACAATCATCGATTGGATTACCGGTCCCACATGAGAAGAAACCTAGGTTCCTTCTTGATATAGACTCGTTTATTCTCCTAAAACATTAGCCAACATCCATTAATATATATGTTATAAACATAAATGAAAAATAACATCCACTTTAGCATTATTCTTGACGTAGTTAAGTGTACTCATAAGTCATACTAATGCAACAAAATGAACAAGTCGGTTTATGATCAAGATTGAAGATGACCAAATTATCCTTGCATTGGAAACAAAAATTTCAAGCGAAAATGTTGACAGTATACAAACATTGGTATTTATAAGGATCGTACATTTGTGTTACAATACCTGTGTACTTCTTCGACGATGAGCTCGGGGTCGGAAACATGCGACGAAGCGAGCATGGAAAAGAAAATGCAGTATAGAAAGATAAGAGTGAAGGAGGATACATGTGAAGAATTTAGCATTGTTTCTTGGCTTCTTATTGTTGATAAGGTTTAGGGTTTAGGACGAAACGTATGAATGAAGGGAGAAAGACAGAGCAAAGGTATAGACTATATAGCATACGAACACTTTGGGTAATTTAATGCACATGCAACTTGATGTTAATTGGACCCACTATGTCTTAGCTTTTATCATCTTTTTCTCTATGAAATAATATTGGGTTAACTAAGATTATGTCTTTTACTTTTTAAAAAGGTGTATTTATGCCTTAAATCCTGATCAAGCTAAACGAAATGAGTTTTGTTTTCTCGATGTTATTAGCAAACCAAAACAATTGAAATAAATCCTTGAATCTGAACTCATTATTTTGGAATAAATG